TGGGTCGTTTAGCAGTGACGACCATCACCTCACTACAAGAAAACAGACATTTAGTGTCGGTTGTTTTGTGTCGGTTCATTTAACCGACACTAAAAGACTACTTTGCGTCGGAAAATTGTGTCGGTTATTTAACCGACACAATTTTCTACGTTTTGTGTCGGTTCATGCTAACCGACGCAATTTTCAAAGGATTTGTGTTGGTTATTACTCTAACCGACACAATTCTTATACTTTTGAATTTTGACAAAAATGATAGGCTATTTTGGCTCCAAAAATTTTCAATGTCCACCGAAACTTCCCTCCTAACAAATTGAAAAATTTCCCATCTATAAAAAAGTGAAAAAGGAAAATACAATCCCTTACCCCAGTCCCCAAATAAAGAAACCCCTCTGCCCAATCTCATCACACGCCATTCAACTTTCCTTCTATCCTCTCATCCTTCCTTCTTCGTTCCTCTCCAAAAATAAACCATTCACCTGCTCGGCTGCTCGTCTTTTCTCAATGAGAATAAACCCTTCTTTCATCTCCTTCCTTCGATTCCTATCTCAAAATCGCTAGCTGTTTACTTTGGCGAGATCCGGCGACGATGGTGGAGAGGCCAGACGGCTATGGCGAAGAGATTGAGAGGGCGCGATCAGCCAAATCCACCAAAGATGGCAGAGAGATCGAAAAGTGATGATCGGCCAGATCCAGGGAAGATGGCAGAGAGATCGATAGGCGACGATCGGCCAGATCGGCGACGATGATGGAGAGATCGACAGGCGACATCGGGAACTAAAAATCCATGAGTTAATCTAGGTTTTTTGCAGGTTTTGCTTCGGCAGAGGCTGAGGTTCCTGCGAGGTGGAGGCTGAAGGTGAGGCGATGGAGGTAGGAGGAGCTGGTGGCGGAGGTGGAGGTCGACGAGCGCCAGGCCAAAGGTGGGAGACTTGCGGCAACGACGGAGATGGATTCAGATGCATTTTTTTTTGTGTTTTTGTTTTTTGGGTCTATTTCTAGGTTTGAGGAGAAAAGGTAACTATGGATTCGGTTTTTTTGGAAGGAGATAGGATCCTTTTCTGTGGGTTTTTGCGTTTATGTGGTGGTTGAGTTTGAAGTTCACATTTTCAAGTGTTTACAAGGGTTGTAATTGATGTTTAGGGGGTTGTAATTTCTGGGTTTGTGAATGAAGAACAGTTGTTCTGTTTATTCCGATAGTCTTGATCTGTTTTTGGTTTGACGAGGAAGAAGAAGGGGAGAGAAGCTGAAAGGCAAGAAATTGGAGTAGCCACCAGCCACTGGTCGACATTTTTTTTATTAAAAAAACTTCATATTGGAGTCGGTTAGTGGACCGACACAGATAATACTTCCAATTAAAAAAAAGGAAATTTCTTGATAAATAATTAGTTTCAGTTATAACTGACACAAAATAACCGACATAAATACAATTCGAGTCGGTTACTCCAGCGGTTGTCAAAAACCAACACGAATCGGTTTAGTGTCGGAAGGTTTCGTGACGGTTAAGTGAACCGACACAAAAAAAATTAGTGTCGGTTAAAACCGACACTAAACATATAAAATAACCGACACTAAACAGTTGTTTTCTTGTAGTGCCTCTTCTTTCATATCCTGCTTGCGGGACTCTTCCTCAATCCTTAGGCGAGTAATCAAACTTTCCAGTGAAAATTCTTTGGTTTTATGTCTAAGCATATTCTTAAAATCTTTCCACGAAGGGGGCAGCTTATCAATAATGCAAGCAACTTGAAATTGATCGTCCAGAGGCATACCTTCAGAGACGATCTCGTGAGCTATTTTCTGAAGTTCGTGGGACTGAACTTCGACAGACTTGTCATCCACCATCTGGTAGCGCAGGTAGCGGCTGACAGCATACTTCTTAGCTCCAGCCTCCTCCGTGTCGTACTTCTTTTGGAGCGCATCCCAGACCATCATTGCGGTGTTCTTGCTGTCCGCATAGTAGTCGTAGAGGTCGTCTGCCAGGCCGTTGAGGATGTAGCCCTTGCATAGGAAGTCATGCTCCCTTTCCTTAGCAGAAGCAGTCCTCTCCTCATCGGTCGCTTCTTCCGGCAGCTCGACGGGCATGCTAGTGAGGCAGTGTGCCAACTTCTTGGTCGTCAGGTAAAACTCCATCTTTTGTTTCCAGCGACGAAAGTTGACTCCAACGAAGCGAAACGGTCGATTGATATCGACAGCACCAGATCCGGCCATGTTGTTATGTTCAGTCGACATAGCAGCAGCCGAACGTCTTAAAATTGTTAGAAACGGAACAACAACAAGACCGAGGATACCGAATCTGGAGCTGAGTCGCGGACTAGGTCGCTCTCTTTAAGACGTTCGCGGCACTGCCCTCGATGCGCACGGCAGACTATCAACCGGTCGTCTCCAGGATAAAACAGCTCCTCTATGTACTCGCGGTTTTGTGCGAAAACCGGAGCTCTCTGAACACTCTCTCTATTGTGTTTATGCTCGTTGTGGTGTATTTAGAGGGGCTGGGGAGGCGGCTATTTATAGGAGCCGAACCCCTAGGAATATACCCTCTTGCTTGGGGAATAAGTCGGATTAATTAAGGAAGATAATTACTTCCTTAATTAAAACAGTCGGTTAGGATAAATCCTGCGGAGATTATCCTTCGAATATTCCTTTTCAATCGATTATCCCTTGGAATATTCCTCAGAATAATCGATTAATAATTAATTATTAAATAATTAATTTCGTTCGGAATTTCTCCAAAAAATATGTATATAGTCTCTAGTGATCCATCCATCCAACCGGTCGGACGGACGGCGCGCGCATGTGTGTGGTGGTCCATTAGGTCCTCCCTCTCCCACAAAAGTGGGTCACCCCAAGGGGCATACCCTTAGGAGAGAGGCTCCTATCTTTATACTCATTTCACCAAGTAAAACTACCAATGTGTTAGTTTTTTCACTTGAGACTCTATAGCTTTCAAAGCTATTCATACACATTTCCAACAGCAACTGTTCAACTAGCTGGATAATCCAGTCATCTATTCGCAGATCTAAACAAACACCGATCCGCTCCGAGTTCATCACTCGCTAGCAATCCAAATTCAAGCAGTAACGACCAGATCCAAACAATTCTAACATTCGCCGGCAATGGCATTATCCACTCAAAACGATGATTACTAAGCCTGATCCCGAGGCGAACTATCCTCTAAAGCCACACAATGAGACACTTCCATCAACTGAAACCCAAGCTAAAGCTAACAAGCAGAGAAGTGATCGCAACGCGCAGGAATAAAAAACATCAAGGAAATGGACAACGATGATACCTTCGAATTTCTCTTCGAAGAAGGGGCTGGGATCAGGTGACTAAGGGGGGTCCCCTTAGTCACATGACTAAGTGAATCTTAGCCATACAAGCTCATTAAAATCCAAGGGCTCCTATTAATCCAATTTAATAAAGGGCAATGTAGTAATTGCATGTTTATATTTACTTTTAATTATTAAATAATTTTAAAAACTCTCACCCAGATCCGGACTCCACCCATTCTCACCCCTCCGTTTCCGGCGACGTTCTCCACCGGCCCCAACCCGCGCCGCCGTTTCTTTTTCTGGCGGTGGGATTTTTTGTCCCCAAATAGCTATTTTGTGGCCTTAACAGCCACGGCCAGAGAGAGAGAGGAGGGATTTTGTGTCCCCAGCAATGGCTTCCAACAGCTACGGGGAGAGAGAGAGAGAGAGAGAGAGAGAGAGAGAGAGAGTCAACTTTTCTGGCGACGGCGGAGCAGTTTTCCGGCGACCAGAGACGGTGGTGGATGATTTTCCGGCAACAGTATTGAGTTCGTGATGTTTGTAATGTTTATATTACTATTTTGTATACATTGTAATGTTTGTTTGTCATGTTTGTTATTTTGTAATGTTTGTATACTTTTATGTTATGATTTGTATACTTTGTATTCATTTGTTCGTTTGTAATGTTTGTAATGTTTGTTTGCAATGTTTGTAATGTTTGTATACTTTTATGTTATGATTTGTATACTTTGTATTCATTTGTTTGTAATACAAGTTTACCAATCTGTATTGTTAGTAGTGATATTCTGTACGTGTAGTATGCTTTGTACTGTTTGTAATGTTTGTAATGTTTGTTTGCAATGTTTGTAATGTTTGTTGGTTTCTTTTGTATTGTTTGTAATGTTTGTTATTTTTGTCCACATGTTTGTCATTTTTGTCAACCATGTTTGTAATGTTTTTTGCATCACAAATCAATACATATAAAGTATACAAATTATTAGTACTTACAATACAAAGCGAAACATACTAAGAATAAAAGAAAAACATACTAAGAGTACAAACTGTCAAAGAAAAACATACTAAGAGTACAAACTGTCAAAGAAAAACATACAAACCATACTGACATTTTGTACAAAAATACTAACAATACAAACTAATGTTACAAAACATACAAACTATACAAATCACTGTTCTTCCTTCAGACGATGTCTCTCCACCGCCGCCTCCGCCGCCGCCGCCACCGTCGTAGTCGTCTTGCCCTCTCTCCATCGTCGCCGGAGCCGTCGTTGAGATCTCCTCGCCGTCGCCCCCCTCTCTTCCACCGTCGCTGTCCTTCTCTCCCCGCTGCTGCTTCTCTCTCTCTCTCTCTCTCTCTCTCTCTCTGGGAATATTCCAGGGGAATAATGGCGGAGGGGAGAAGAATTCCCTGCCCAGGAAATTGGACGGCTCTCTCTCTGGGAATTCCAGGGAATAATGGCGGAGGGGAGAAGAATTCTCTGCCCAGGGAATTGGACGGAGACGAAGCGGCGCAAAGGACGGGGCCGACGCGGACGGCGGGCCTATTTTTTTTCCCTTCCCAGAATAAAAAGGAAAACCAATTAATGAATTTTTTTTATTCCAGAATTGCCCCTCCAAGTATTTAAAAATCCCTTCCCTAATTTTCACCATTAGATTGATCCTTCTACATCCAATGGCCAGGAGGGGCTTAGCCAAGTGACTAAGGACCCCCCCTTAGTCACCAGATCCGGACTCTCGAAGAAGACGGTGGCAGAGGCGAGGGCGAGAGAAGAGAGGAGGAGGATCAAGCAGAGCGAATTAGGGTTCGCCACGGCCGGAGCACGAAACGGAGAGGAGGGCGCTGTTGGTGGACTAAGAGAAAAGAGAGTGCGAGAGTGGTGAAAGAGGTTTTATTTTTATAGCAGGGCTTTTGTTCATTGGTTCTGACGGTGGCCGGGGACGCTGTCGTTTATTGCTTCCTTTCCCCATTAAACCCTCGCGGCTTGTTCAACTCAACTCCCCTGTTAAACCCTGGAGAGGAAAACTCGTTAGTCGTTAGCTCATTACTCCTTCGTCAAATTGGATCGGGGAAGAAAGGGGAAAGGTTTCAGCTTGAATTCTCCGATCATCAAGCAGCTGAAGAATCAGAACTTGAAATCCCTTGGAATTGGCGGCAGAACCTAGAAGTCGAGTTCGAGGTTCTGTTGGGAATGGGAATAGAGCAGAAAAGCCTCGAATGCCTTCGATCTCCGTCGATTAGGAAACCAAGGGCCGAAAGATGTCAGCTTTGGCGCTCAGAAGATCTAGGATCTGTTCCCAGAGTCTCCTCGCAGCTTCCTTACTCTGCCCTCTTCAACCCGAGCCACAGAACGCACTCCTCCATTCTTCAAAGCTTCACTCTTCACAATCTGTAAGGAAGAATCACCAGGTCCTGGGCTTCTCTTCAAACGGCGTCTTGAATAGAGAGCTTCAGTTCCAGAGGAGGGTTTTTCCTAGTCTTAGTACACATGCGGCAGCAGCAGCTGCGGAGCTGTCTACTTCCGATGGCTTGACTGTTGATAGAATTGTTGCTAGTAACTGGGCCATTCTTGATGAAAGTGAGAGTGATTGGAAGAGCCATGCTGCTGCTATTGCCCAGTCCATTCAAGTCATCAAGAAGCGGTTGCAGGTAACGGCTGTTATTAGGTTCTAGAAATCCAGAATGCAATTATTCAGTCCATGGTTCAATTTAAATTGAACTTGTCAGGGGTCATTTGGATCATGGAATGGGTGGATTGTTGTCCGAAATTCATCATCTTATGGGTTGCTGCTCATCCAAAAGCAATATATCCTCACAACCTGACCATTTCGAAACCTGCACATTCTTAATAATCTATGTACTTGAACAATCCGTTTAGCAAAGCATCCCTTTTTTCTGGAGTGGCTGAAATTTCAGTTCATTTCTAGGACCCTGGCTGTCAATTTCTGCATGATTTCTAGTTGTTTTTATATTGTATTTGATACATGATTGTAATATGTGGCAGTGGAATAAGTTGATGGTTAGATTAGATTTGCTATCAGCACAGCTGAATAAGCCAAACCTATGGGATGATCCTGTACTTGCTGGAAAGTTAAGCCGCGAGCATGGCTCGATGATGGGTAAGATGAAAGAGGTGAAAGCATTGGAGCAAGATTTGATTGAGCACATTGATATGATAAAGTTGGCTCGTGAAGAAGCGGAGGACTCCGACTTGGAATTGGTGGGAAACCTTGCTTCTTGTTGTTTAGGCATGTACTCTTTTTCCTTGTGCCCTGATGAGCAAATTACTTGGTAGAACTCGTACCGGGACAATATACTGAGAACCTGATTATCTCTTGCTTAGCTTTAAATGTTGGCCTTGAACTATTGAACAGAAGGGTTGGCTGCTATTAAGATGGAACGGGTTAAATACCAATTTGGTTACATACCCAAATTATATCTCTCACATTGGACGCTGAATTCAAGATCGAGACAACTAAGCACCAAAATCATCCTAATATTTCATCTTATCATTGTTGTTTTCCCATCAGTTTTCGTCATTATGTTGTTGATTCTGGGAAACAGATAATGCTAATGAAGTCGTCGTAGGGAGATTTCGTTTTTTTAATTGTCTTAATGCTTATTGTGATACACATGAACATGATATGTGACCAAATTGTAATTTGAACCGAGATGGGAGATATCATGTGTAACTTTAGCATGATCAATGAATTGACTACTTGTTTGCTCTGCAGGAATCATTGAAAGCCATGCTTGAGATGAGAAGAAATTCCAAAGAGAAAGAGCTAGAAGCTTTGTTATCCGCAGAGCATGATTCTTGCTCATGTTACATCGAGGTAGCTCTCCAATTTACTGATATGTTACTGTCCAAATTGCTCTGCTGTATGATAAACGTCTGTTTATGGAACTTTCATTGCTTAAAGCTTGTGTCTTTATTTCTTGATGCATGAAAATAGGTTCAAGCTGGAGCTGGTGGTACTGAGAGCATGGACTGGGCGAAAATGGTGATGCAGATGTATAAACTATGGGCTCAACGCCGAGGGTTTAGAGTGACATTGGTCGACGAGATGTCTGGTGAGATGGCAGGAATCAAGGTTATATCATCTTTATCATCTTTCTCTGTTTACAGAAGCACACAATCTTGTAGCTCTTATGAATTTCTGCTCTTTAGTAGGGATAATAATTGGGTAGGTCTGAGAAAGATATCTCTATCCTCGTTACCATCCCGGTTCTCAAAATTGGTATTCTGCCCATCCCCCGAACAGATAAGGTTTTTGCATACCTGCCCATGTATGAGTCACTTTGGGGATACTGGTGTATGATCCTCCGGTAGCTCGTACTGTTCAATAAGAACTCACACCTTCAAAATGAGTGTATAACAAATGTCAAATTATTCGATTTTCTTTACCTTGTCATTCATTATCATTTTCTTCATATTCCTAGTGTTTCAACTCCATGAAGTTCCATGACTATTTTTGCCGAGTTATCTCCCGTTAACCAAACATGTCTAAATTTGATATTTCTTTTGCTACTTTCAGCGGGCAACCATCAGACTAGATGGTGAATATGCATTTGGCTATGCAAAAGCAGAAGTAGGAGTCCACAGGCTGGTGCGAATCTCGCCTTTCGACAGCAGTAAAAGGCGGCACACGTCGTTTGCAGCAGTTGCTGTGATCCCAATTCTTGGTGAAGGGTTCACACATGTTCAGATCAACGAATCCGACTTACGAATTGAACGGTTTCGATCTGGAGGAGCTGGTGGGCAAAGTGTTAACACGACTGACAGTGCTGTGAGGATAGTTCATATTCCAACTGGGGTAACTGCCACATGTCAGAACGAAAGGTGAAACTTCTTATCGACCTAAGCTCCAGTTATTACCTTTAGATATTGTCAGGGTTATGTCCCTAAGTTCTCCTTATGCTCCAAATGTTGAAATAATTCTGTGTGGGGGGTATTCACTACAGATCACAGCATATGAACAAGGCATCAGCAATGTCAGTGCTTCAGTCGCGGCTGGACCAGCTCGAGATGACGCGGCAGGCCCAGGTGAATGCTCAGCACACTCAATCATTGACGGAAATCAGCTGGGGCAATCAAATTCGCACTTACGTCCTTCATGTAAGTGATCAAAGAACCATTTCTTAAACTTCCATGCATTACTGGTATGTTTGTAGAGAACTTTCACTGTTGTTTTGGTTGGCTGAATGAATTTAACAGTTTTGGCTTGCTCTGCGTTTCTCTCCAGCCATACCGTATGGTTAAGGATCTTCGAACCAGCCACGAGGTTTCTAACCCTGATTCAGTGCTTGAAGGAGAGCTAGACGGCTTCATCTTGAGCTATCTTTCATCTTCATTGGATAAAGATGAAGAATACCAATGAACCCTTTTGAAAGACAATAGCAGTGATAAGCTGGCAGGAGGGAGATGGTCCCAATGATTTGGGAAGATTCCAAGGAAGAGAGTAATTTATTGTTGTTGGATAGGTGATACTGTACTGAAATATTGATCATGTTGTGAACCTCTATAAATTAATAAAGTTGAGACCATAACAATTTATTAATTAATTGATAAATTAATAATTTATTAATTCAAAAATATTTTTTTATAATGTATATAGTTAACATAAATGAATTTATACTCCTAAAATAAGATTTATATATCGTGTGTGTTAATTTTATTTAGTAAAAATATATTTTTTATATTTTGATAAACTTAACTTTTACGATTCATTGTGTTATCTCATTGTATTATCTTAAACGTTTAAATATGCTTAAGGGATGAAGTCGGCTCAAGTGAATAAATTTTGAACAAGAAGTAAATGAATTTGAGTATATGATTAATTGTATGGTTTATCATATCAAAATTGATGTAAATCAGTTGTTTGAGTATCTAGGTGAAAATGATGTATATATCGAGGCACAAAGTTTAGAAGCAATTGTGGTTGGCGTCATTAAGAGTTCGATCGAGGATGCATGAGATGATGATTCAACACTCGTGGAAGTGGTCACGCGAAAAGAAATATTTAAATCCACATCCAGTCTTTAGACTACTTGTTGCAATTAGAGAACACAATATGAGATTTTAAGTGCAATGAGGAAACTTCAAAATGAACTTATACTAGACTTGAACTAAAAAAACAAATAAAAGAATTACTATAGATTCATATTTTTCTAGATAATTCTAGTTACATTGTAAATTTCTTGATAAATTGTATTTTTATAATTTTTAGTTTATGAAATTGAAAATACATATATTTATTTAGAACCCCGAGGCCTCTTCCCAGTTCACCCTAGTCAGCGACCGTTACCCGCCAAAGGCGACCGGAGTTCGGCCAAACGACGTCGTACGAGTCTTTCCAACCAGTTGCGATTTGAGCGAGGAATCAGATTAGTTCCCCTTGTTCTTCAATCTTCACCATTCTCTGCAGAATCAGCGGCAGCAGCAGCAGCAGCTGGGGTGCCCAATAAAACAAAGGGGGTTCAAAAGGGGGCGCCTTTCGTCGTATACCTCGTAAATTCTGTGCGAACTCTCTTCACACTGCTTTGGATGTTTACGGCGGCAGACCCAGCTCGTCTCGGCGCGTAGTTTTCTTGCAGGTTCTAATTCTCCCTTCCTCCTGGTTTCTGTTGATCTTATGCCCCCTTTTTCCAATGGGTTTTGAAGATAGGGAATTGAATCTTACTTTTCCCCACGTCTTGGGTATTTGTTGTTTCTATTAAGCCGATAGATAAGAGAAAGAAGATTGGCGTGAAGAACGAAAAGGGAGCGAACTCATCCTTTCTAGGGTTCTTATTTTCTGGTTTTGCTCAGGGGGGAATATGGAAGCGTCCTCTTCTTCTTCGTCGTCGGTGATATCTCCGGAGGACGTGTTGGAATGTCTGATGAACGACGGCACAATTGATGCTCTGAGATTGAAGATCATCAATCAGCTCAAGGCCAATGTACCCCCCATCTCTCTTTCTCTTTCTCTGTCTCTTAAATTTCAATTTGCCTTCCCGTACTAGTGTTGTTTGAATTTATTAGTAAAATTTGAAATTTCGGATGGAAATTGGGGAATGGCTACTGTTTGGCTGATGTTTGGTTGGAAATTTGGATTTGCTTACTGTTGATGAGAAGAGGAAAGAGTTCCAAAGAATCAGGTTATGTTGATTCATAGTGATGAAGAGAATCAACTTGTTCCCCCCTGCTATGCAAGTGGGGTTAAAATGTGATTAGTTATAGTTTGTGGTTTCATGATTGAAAAGGAAAAAGTAAACAACACCACTGGTCTCCTCTCGAGTCCACGTGGCCCGGTTGATCGATCATTTCGTTTGTTGAACCCGTATGGCATATATGTTAATGCTGTCGATCCTCAGGAGGCTCATTGCTTCAATAAAGACTTAAGCTTTTTGTTACGTTGGTTGTTTGATTGGTGGTCGATTCGAGTCAATAAGAACAATGGTACATTTGTTAGAACATTGAAGCGTTACATGCTTAGTAACCGTGAATGCAATGTATCAAGGATTTTCTTTATCTAAAGAGTTAGCATTTCATTGGTACTTATAACAGAAACCACGATGATTTCTTACTCTAAAGATTTAACATTATATCAGAACTTAACTTATATTGGAAACCTTTGTCCATGGTCTCTTCGTGATCAAACCTTTTGTTTGCTAGAAGAACGGTGTGTCCTGCGAGTTAAGCCTTTTGAACTGTTTGCATCTTTTTCATCTTCTGCATACTTTTTGAATTCTGAAAGTAATTGATTGTGTAAGTAGCTCTAACTCTTTCTTCTTCTTCTTATTTTTATTTTTTTTTTTGTTTCACAGGAAGAGCTGAAGAATACAACCATCAAAATGGCCGAGCAGAGTAAGGTTTTAAATACCCCTGGCGCAGAGAAACAGACCAAGAGGGAACTATTCGATGCACTTCGACAAGAACTTGAGTAGGTGTCTCTATACGTGTTATTTTCTCCTTCCTTTTCTGTACTTGATGCTATTCATTCAAAGCTCAACCTGATCCAATTAGCTGCATTTTCATTTTCTTGTCATTTGTAGAACTCCGGTGCTCGAGAAGGCTTCGAAATCGGTATGGGAATTGATTCTGGACAACAATGGCCTGGGGAAAGAAATAAGTGAAACGGTCGAAAGAGTGTTCTGCAAATTAAGCGGCCAAGAGCCTCCGTTGTTTCCACCTCCGAGTAATCCTGAACCACAAGCTTCCAGGGAGAAAGAGAACAAGAAAGAGGCAGAGAAAGAAGAGGAGTTGACGATAGCAAGTCTGAAGGATAACTCTATGTTGAAACATCCGAAGAAAAGGCGGCACATCGAGATGACCAATGAGAAAGGCGGTGCTGCGAATGAAGTTGCAAGAAAATCGGCCGATGATCGATCGAGTAAATCTCCTCATTCAAAGACTTTAAACCTTACATAGAATCGAATGAGACCATTTAGCAGAACAGATAATTTATTGAATTGGTCCCTTCTCTTCAGTAGAATGTTTCTTCAGAAACATAGTTTCTAGTCTCTCTGCATAGAGTTTAGTTTTCATTGTCAAGCGCAAACTTATGAGTTGAATGAGAATCTATAAACATGTTGGCTCAATCACATTTACAGGAACGGTGGCTTTGATTTTTGTTTTATGACATGATGGAATAACTGGCATTGTAGTCATTTCGTAAAGTAAATAATGACTATGAGACTATATGGGACTCCCTCAGTCCTCACTATTAATTTGGGTGAATTGATAAGCCAAACTATTCATGTTAAATCAACTGATAGAGTTGAAGTTTTCACGGTCTGTTATTATCATCAAAATAAGTTAACAATTAGTACTTATTGTCAGGCAAAACTCAAACACAGGATCTCTCTATCAACGTATAGAATATCAATTTATCGCAATAACTCAAAATTGTTAGTACGATTATGGTACTACTATATATATCCTTCCTTTGCCGTAAGAAAACTTGACAAAAAATTCCATTTATTCTGCTGTGTTTCAGTTTCTGCATCAGATTCGAGAGATCTGCTCACTTCACTCTCCATGATACAAAACGTGAGAATCTCTGAAGATCCCTTATTCATCAATTCCCCCAGCCCCCAACTAAGCGCAAAACCTAGTAAAGTTCCAATCTTTTCCCTAAACCCCTACTACGCCTAAGAAAAACCAAGGCTGAAGTCTCATACCAAAATTGGCCTAACAATGGAAAAAAAATAAGCTTCTGCAGGCTATGTGCAGAATCATCAGAACCTACCCCTACTCTCAAAACTTTCTTTTACCTAAAACTGTTGTGCCGGGTCGAGATCCATTCTTAGAAGTCGAAATGCAACATCCCAGTACCAGCAATCCCTCCAACAGGGTAGGGATACCCATAAAACCCTGATGGCTGCTGCTGATACATTTGCCCACCACTCATAATCATACCAGTAGAAGCACGATCCGGAACCAAAACCTGCTGATGCTGATGCTGCTGCGCATACATTTCCCCACTTGTAATCAAACCAGCAGCAGCCGAATCTGGAACAAAACCCTGCTGCTGCTGGTTGTCGAACATCTCGTTGCGACGAATCGCCAGGTCAGCATCATGACCAGTCTCCAGATTCCCCAGGATTTCCAATCTTTCAATCCATACCCAAGTTATCTTATTTGAGCAACCTTCATTGGAAAAGAAAAGAAGCAATCTTCAAATTCGTACACGGAGAGCAGATCCTCAGCTTACTAAATGGCCAGTTCAGCAACTTGTCCTCTTCAGTTATGCGAGGTCGATGAAAGTTTTATAAAGCAAATTAATCGGCCAACGGGCCAAGTAAAAGCTAGCAACGATTGTGAGATGCTCATTTCCAGAAAAAATCGCAGGATAGGCAATTTTTTATTCGATTTTCTGGAATTCGGTTTCTATAAAATTTATTCTACCTCATCATATTATCGGAAACAATATTGTTTCACAAGATAACAGGTACTTGGTTTAGGTTCATAAGGCTGATTTTTGATTCGTTGCATCATTCATGTTTTATCACGTGTTTCCCCAAAAAAAACTATACAACAATAAGCTATACACCCAATTACATTATCAAATTTCATACCTCACCTTTTTCCGGCCAAATGGTCGAGGCCCACGCTAGTATCAGTATTACTCAACCTGAACCACGCTTAGCACGAAACAAGTACAGATATTGATATATCCGTCCCGCGCTCATTACTTCAATGGGGTAGGCTGGGCATCTAATTTCGTATCCAGTATCCACATTCCGCCGTGAAAATCAATTTGACATTTTGGGCTTGTGCATCAGCCTTCAGCCGTGCTTTCGCCGGCCCAATACGAGCCCATAACTTTACAAGCTCCCCAAAAAGCAATAACAAGTTAACAACTCAAATTATTAAAATTTCAACCACTAGAGCTGCCAGCATTAACAATAATAAAACATCCTTAGATCTGTTTTGCTTAAGGAAAAAGTAACTAATAAGCAACTTAATCCAAAAATATTGATTAATAATCTATATAAGCCGATAATCATAAGATTAATAATAATACAATTAGTTAACTAAAAAACTACGCAGCACTATCATATTAGTTAAAGTTTTTCTCACTCCAACAAGCCCACCTAATATTAGTTAACCCTCGCCGCCGTCGCTCTTTTTGTTCCCTCCTCTTCTCAATCCTCCTCTTCCTTGCCGTCGCCGCCGTTGCCGCCCTTAGCCCTGAATCATCAAACCGCCGCAGCCAGCAGTCCCCCAAAATCGACTCCTCCCACCTCCCTTCCCCCACCGGAAAACACACATTCACATTCCCACTCCCGCTGTTCAGATCAATCCCAATCGCCCCGCTGCCATTATTATTATTGTTACCACTGCTGCTGCAGCTAGATGAACACGGAGGCACCACCCCAACCTTTCGAATCAGTGATTCCTCCACTGCATTTTCATTCACAACCACTGAACCGGCTCTCGGTTGGGCCAATTGGGTTTCGGTTAATCCAGGCCTTTTCTCTTCCTTGCCAAGCCTCAGCTGCACATTTTCAATTGGGAGCAATTAGGGTTAGAAATTGATTGGCTTTCTATGAGCAGGGTTTTCTTAAGGGAGTGGGCGTGGAAAGAAAGAATCACCTGTTCTTCAATGGCTTTCAGTTTCGAATTTTCCTCTTCCAAAGTTTTGTAATAACGGGTTACATTCTCAATCTCCTGTGTTTAATCCGCAACCCCCCACAGTAAATTTCCAGTGACAATATTAGACGGATTGGGGAAACAGAGTGGAGAAGAAAAAAGGGAGAAACTTCAAAATTACCTTCCGTAAAACTTTCCGCTGTTCCGCGCTCTCGGCAACTTTCTCCATCAAATCCTTCCTCGACTGCTGAACAATTTTTTTCCCCACAGAAAGATTCACAGCTTCAGAATTTTACCATCAAGATTGGGATAAGGGTAAAAGGGTCAAATCCACCCAGCAAACGAAAAACCACTGGAAAACGAAGCGTTTACCTTTTTGCTGACGGCGGAGGCGACTCTCCGCTTACAGCGGGGAGGATTCTCACCGGATTCTTCCTCTACGCTCAGTGACAGGGAAAGCGGCGTTGTAGGGCTGCCCTCCTTTTCCTCCTTAGGTTTCGATTCTCCCCTCGCCGCCGAACTTTTCTCGACCGCCGCCAACGGCTGCTGGGCATCACGAAGAGACGGGCTCGGAGATAATGCTGCAGTTGAAGGCGAGGAATCGATTCGGCCTCCGCGAGAGAGACAAGATCTCTTCCGCTTGCCGGACCAGAAGAACGGAATGGAATGATGCGACGAGGCGGAGGCGGCGGAGGGTTTGGATTGGTCGATTACAAGAGGAAGGTCAAGCAGAATTGAGGCGACTTCGTGCTCGTGTTCTTCGAAGTAAGAGGGTAGGAGAGAGCAGTTGTTCCCCTGTTTCATCTTCGTCACGCCCAAGAAGGAAAAGGAAAAAGACAAACAAAAACAAAGACCTAATCAGGTCAATCCGCCATTGGCGAGGGACGAGAGACCAGAAGAGAAGAGATAGAGCTCTGGGGAAGAAGAAGGGATTAGAGGGTGGAAATTCCGACGGCGAGATAAGGGGGAGAAAGGAATTTGGTTGCGGTGAAGACTCTGTCTCTTTGGTTTTATGATTGAGAAAGAGGGAAGGGAGAAAAAAAAATCGAGTGGCGCGGGGGGTGGGAGCTGGTGACACGTGTCGCTCAATGGAGGGTCCTCTGTTGCCGATTTAGGGTTTTTCCGGCTCCCCTCCCGCCTCGCTCCGCTTCACGACTTCCGTCAGAGAGACTTTCCAACTTAAATCGACTGTACTTTGTATCTTCAATTTTTTTTTCCAAATAATAATAAAACAAACATTATTTTACTAATTTTTTTATAAACATTTACTAAATACGTTGAAATTTTATGTGTGTAAAATAAATACAATCTTGCTCATATAGCTTAGTGTTTAAATCACAATCAGACGTATCAAATGGCAAAAATGTAAATGATATGTACAGCAATCGCAAATTTAATCGATGGATTATTGAATTTGAGAAATATTTATACCGCCTATTTCAACATAAAATTTAAGAATTTATGAAATGGGGACTTTTTATTTTCATTCTACAATGAATCTCACAAATTAAAATAAAAAAAATGAGTTAATCCATTCATTAATCATTATGGCGGTTTCTCAAGAAGGAAATAAAATATATCGTTCGTCCTACTCCCTAAATCCTATTTAGTGATCAAAGCGTTGATTTAGCGCTAATTTAGGAGAATTTACAGTTTCACCGTCGTGAGATTATGTAATGGGCCAAGCCCAACAAAACGGATCCGAAATTGGGATTTTGTTGGACTGCGGTACGGTATTATGGTAGCAATAAAATGACATGAGCCAAGGCCTAATGAGAGACTGTGAGACAACACGAACAGGAAAGGAAACTGTGAAATAATGTCAGTCGGTTCAACACGAGATCTCTGGGGAAGTTTAGGTTATATAGTACACTTATACAGACCAAATGCTGCTTTGCTTTCCGTAATGAAGATAGCAGAAACATAACAAAGTAATAGGATCATCATGATGCCCGCTGTCTCTTCGACATGACATTCACCACAAAGTCATCGTCAGAGTCATTATCGCTATCGCTGCTAGCCTTGCGCTTCTTATTAGAATCTTTTGCGGTAACCTTGGAAGGAGCAGTCTTGCCTTTGGCAGATGTAGATACTGGAGATGGAGATGGCTTCTTCTTTGTATCAGTTGCACCGCTGGATTTCTTTGAGGTGGTGGTGGTGGTGGGAGTGCCTTTTTTCATTGGAGATGCAAACTTCTGGTTCTTCTTCTTGAGCTTCATATCCAACACCTTTTGTGCCTTGTCTTTAGGAAGCAATCCCGATTCCATCATCCTACAACAAGCAGAGAATGAGTCAGGAAGCCAGCTGCTAGAAGTGCAGCAGGAAGTTTCCATGGAATTACATGTCAGTGACTCAATATAGCACTGTGCAATGCCAAGGGATATTCAAAATACAAGTCTTGTTCTTAAAGTATCAACTAGTAATCAAACATGTTGATGAGAACGAACAGGGACTCTATGGCAGCAAATGTCAAACCTGGGTAGACTTCATGAGTCAAGAATGCAAAACAGCAGTCTATCTTGAACCAAAGAGTGAAGCATGGTTCCGCGGTATAAGAAGATGAGATCACTGAAGTCTCCACTTTCCTGAGACTTATATCTTTCACGTTCATTCTTACTCATACGAGAAACCAATCAACATAAGAAACTAAGATTGATTTTCATCAACTCTTTGTTACATGCTGAGATCTGTGATTATTCATTAGGCTCAAAAGATACACATCTCTAAGAAAGAGTAGGATCTCAGCAACTCCATAACCCAACCCTAATAGATTCCTCATCCTAAGCTGACAATTATTACGAAGTAGCTGAACAAAGCATTACTACTTCTCTATAGCATAAGCTTCTTCCCTATAATCACATTATGGTTAAGCCACCAAACAATCTTCACAGAGAAGGGCTGCAAATGTTAGACTTGTGCCATTTCGCTGAACAAAGCATTACTATTTCTCTACAGCGTAAGCTTCTTCCCTATAATCACATTGTGCTTAAACCATCAAACAATCTTCACAGAGTGGGGGTTGCAAATGTAACTCACCAGACTTGTGCCATTTCACTGTTGGGAATCTGCTTATACAGAGTTTCATAGAAAATCCTCAGTGGGTCTCTCTGCAATTGAACCACAGTATCCAGAATTGTTAATTAACTCCAAACAAACACTTGCAGAAACCAGAACAAACCCTAAGCTACCAAACCAACGAAGAACAAATACCTCCTCGGGAGGATCTCGCTTCTGGCCAGGCAAACTATAAACCTTCTTCTCCTTCTTAGTCCCATTCTGCTGAGTCCCCGCGTTTCCTTTACCCTTCACTACTTCAGTCTTCTTCTGCTTCTTCACGCTCGATTCCTTCAGTTTCAATAGAGAAAAAAACATCAACTCCCAGCAACTAATCCCCAAATTGGAACTTCTAATACCCATAGATAACTCACCTTAGCAGGTTTCGAGGCGGAACTCCGTCTCGCGATGGGCTTCTCGTCGTCTTCCTCTTCCTTCTTCAATTTGGCGGCTGCCTTCGACCGATCCTGAGAAGAACCCTTCTTTGGCTTAACAGCTCCGTCGAAATCTTCATCGCTGTCGTCCTCGTCTTCGGATGACTCCTTTTTCACTTTCGCCGGCTTGGGACGAGGTTTGGGGGTTACCGTACCTGCATTCGTCGGATTCTTCCGCCGAGCAAGGACCATGGAGCTCAGACTCCTCTCGTCGTCCTCCGATTCCTGCTTCACCGGCTTCGAATCCTCCGACGGCATTGTTCTTTCCCCCGGCCTAGCAGACTTTGGGATTGGAAGTAGAAGGGTTTCAGTGAAGCTTGATCTCTATGCACTGTGGGAAGATAACAAATCAGAAAAGTAAAACCCTTGTGTACTTCGGCTCTGTCCCGAGTTCATCCAAGACGGGAAAAAGTGTCAGATGCAACGACAGCGTATCATGGCGGGAAAGATATGGGTTGGGCGAATGATTAGGCGGGAAATGCGAAAGATAAATGGGCTGTGCCCTTCCTTTGGGATTGTCCATTGGGTTTCACTTAGCCCAAGTTTCTTCCATGCATGGTTGTCATGTCGGTGGCATGCCGGCCGGTTGAACCAGGTCCAACCGGTACCGGTCATGAAACCGGTTGGAATGCCACCGGTATTCTGTCTTAGTCAATACCGGTCAAAGCCGGTCAAAACCGGAAATTCTAGTGGTCCAACCGGTATTTTGCATTCCGGTCTCTTAAGGAAACGCTGTTGTTCTTATTGGATTGTAAAAAAATTTGAATTGGAATGATTTCGCCGACTTGCTCGCATGCCTCGTTCATTCACCAACAATCCAGTCCACCAAATTCTTCTCTCTGCCTTCTCTTTTTCCTGGTGGAAACCCTAGACCAACATACAAATCCTCGGCGGCGCGGCGCGGCGAGAGAGGCTCTGCAAGGCAGGCACGAGGTACAGGTGAGCTTCTTTCTCATGTTAGGGGTTCTGGTATTGCGAGATTGTTATTGGGTTGATTGACGGAGAAAATTGATTTGAAGTCCGGTTTAATGGGGGTTAATGGTTTAATAATGGAGATTTTTAATGGAATAATGGGATGATGGTTTCGGATTGTTTATGGTGATTATTAATGGAGGTTGCCCAAGGCCTTCTCTAGTCTCCGTCGTTTACTGGTTTCTGAACATAGGGGAAGGGAGGAATCAGAGGTTTAATTGAGATGGAGGAATTCAGATTGGTTCTTTTTCTTAGGGGTAATTTAATGCTTTTAGAAGGTATCTATTTTTTTATATATTTTTCAATGTAGATTTTAGAGATATTGTTTTAAAATAAGTGACTTATATTCTTATTCTGAAATTTTATTAAAACCGGCATAGACCGGCGCATGAACTGGTTCTACCACGGTAGAACCATTCCACTTGCAAAACCGGCGTACCGACATAAACCGGTTTGACAACCTTGCTTCCATGCTAGTGTTAGTTTTCGGGTTAATGTCACATTTGGTCACTGAGATTACTAAATCGTTTCATGTTTAGTCATTATAAAAAATTAATATCAACTTTGGTCACTCATATTATTAAAATGGGTCACATTTAGTCACTCTCCGTTAGTCTCCAGCCAAATCCGTTAACGGAGCCTGTTAAGTGCTGATATGGCTAACGGGAGCGCCTAGTCAGCGTCGTCTTGGGTAAAAAATTAGGGCTGGGAAAATATACCAGACCGTTAGAAAAACCATAGTCCAAATCGTACCGCACAGTTTGGTCCGGACCGTAGACCGTGAGGTATGGTTTGGTTTGGTCCATGGTCTGTATTATTTTATGATTTGATCTCTTGGTCTGGTCTGGTCTAGACCGTGGTTTACCGGACCAAACCGTGAACCCAACTGACTTGTCAATACATGTTAACAGCCCATTCGACCACTCTCCCAACTCCCACAACGACACCCAAGTCTCAACCTTAGTTTTGTGAATCTCATCCCTCCTTCATTCACAACCACATTTAACCAGAGAGTAGAAATAATCGTGTCTCCATATGAAATTATGTTAATGTTTATGACGTTATGGTGCAAGCTGGGATGCTTTTACTTTGTATCTTTGTTATGTACTAAGATTTAGAGTATCAAAATTATTCATGCATGTTAGGATTAATGTTGTAAGGAAAATAACAATTATTTTTCTTGGTTATTGGTTCAATTTTTTGTGTGGTTGACTAAACAAATTATTCATTTTTCGTTGAATGTGGTATATTTGGACCAGACCAAACCGTATAGTCTGTGGTCTGGTTTGTGGTCTTCACTTTAGCCTCTCGGTCTGGACCATAGACCGTATATATGGTCTAGTCTAGACCAGACCGCACCGTTTCCCAGCCCTATAAAAAATGTTCAAACCCGACCCGCCACGTCACTAAACCCGCCATGTCATACACCCAATCCAACCCATTAACCCAACCAGACCAAGAACCAAATCCGACCCAGTTAAGAAAACAAAATTGGAAAATCATTCGGGTTAGTGGCATTTAGAGACCCGAAACTCTTCTCCTTCCTCGCGAAGCTCTGCTCCTTCAATTTCGTCTACCATTTTCGATAAAACACATCAAAGAGCAGGGAGAGATGGAGCCAGCCACTTTACCCCTTGACCCCCTTGTCCCATATCCTCCGTTGAAGTCAAGTTCTTCTTCATCTTCGCCGCGCGCCGGCTTCAGTTCCCCCATCGCAGCAGACAATGAAACCCTAAGATCCTCCTACGAATCCGCTCTGTACTTCTTCTTCTTCATCGTGCACAAACGTCAGCTTCCTCCATCAAAGCAGAGGACGAAACCCTAAATAAATTCTCCCATCGCGCCGTCGTCAGTTTCCCGTCTCCATATTTATCCTAGTATAGGCACTGGTCGGAGCGGCCGGATGAGACGTCGCGGGCGGCGGACTCCTGTGAGTTACAGAAGAGCGGGGAGTAGGAGGAGGAAGGGCGATTGAAGATAGGACCTGCTTGCTGAGCCAGACCCGGGAGAAGTATTCCCAGCTGACCTGGTTCAACCCGGATGTGACGGGATTCGATAATTAGGATTGGGAGAGGAAATGGGGGGATTCGGAATTGAGTAGAGGGGTGAGGTCGGAGTCGGAGAGGAGGAGCTTTGCGGAGATGAACTGGACGGGGGCGGAGTCGCGGCGGAGCCTGGCGCAGGTGAGGGATTTATAGTTCAGGAGGTTGGATCTGACGACTGATTATCTTGAGAGGAGGTCGAGGGATGATGGGGGGAGGCGTTGAGCTTGATGGGGGAAGGAGAAGCTTGTTCTTTGGGTTCTTGTTCGGTGAAGGTAGTGGATTGAGGGTCGACGGAGAGGATGTAGTGATCTTGGTGGAATAAAACGAAAGGGGGCGGATTTGCCGGCAAGGTGAAGTGGAAGGGGGAGAAGTGGAGAGGCGTGGTAGAGATGGAGAATAGGGTCGGGTTTGGTCCATGGTTCGGTTTGGGTTAGTGTATTGGGTTGGACAAATTACATGGCGGGTTTAGTGACATGGAGGGTCAGGTTTGACCATATATAGTCCAAAACAACGTTGACTAGGCGATTTTGTTATCCATGTCAGCATTTAACGGGCTCTATTAACGGATTTGGACGGAGACTAAGGGAGAGTGACTAAATGTGATTCGTTTTAGTAATTTGAGTGACCAAAGTTGATATTAATTTTTTCTAGTGACTAAACATGACACGATTTAGTAATCGCAGTGACCAAACGTGGCATTAACCCGTTAGTTTTCCTTCTGCTTCTCGGATTACAAGTCCCCATCAATGCCCTTTCCAGCTGCCATTCAAGGAGCAGTCTTATCGTCCTATGTGACGGTGGGGAGATCACTACGTTTATTTAGGGTTGCAAATGAGTCGAGTCGAGTTTTACCCTACTTTGAGCTCGGTTCGTTAATAATCGAGCTGAGCTCGAGTCGTGTCGAGTTCGAGCTAGCTTGTTTACTAAAATCTTTACTTTTATTTGGTACTTCATTTTGTATATCATGTTACATATAATTTATTTTGTTAGCTAATCTCATATTATACTTTGTTGGTATCCTTTATCATTTAGTTAATAAATTTTAACTACTCCAAATCCAAATCTTTGTTATTTCATAGTATCAAAGCAATCTATGATACATAATTTATTTTTAAAGTAGAAAATAAGATATATTGCTCACATACTCAACATGTAAACTTTATATATGTGAGATATATAATTTAACAACTATATGAATTAAAATCATAAGATATAGATTGATTTGTCCATAAGTCAGTAATCGAGTTGGCTCTCTAGCCACATGTTGAGACATATCATGAGCTCTAAACGAGCCAGCACACGAGTTTAGCTCAACAAGCCACCGAGTCGAGCTAGCTCGCGAGCTTCACGAGCTGAACAAAGCTTAACTCGTGTTCGACTTGTTTATTAACAAGCCGAATTTCGAACGAGCTTTTTCCCAAGTCGAACGTCGAGTCGTTCACGAACAGCTCGACTCATTTACATCCCTACATCTATTACTCTTTTTTTTCCCTCCTCACAAAGATTAGGATCTTTCGACTTTCATTCATAACCAGTAAGAAGTACAAGTAAATGACTTGAAGAATGCTCGATGGCAAGAGGCCATCCTTCAAGTTCAAGCTATAGAACCAATCGAAGAAAGCCAAAGAGGAGTATGGCAAAGGCAACGACGTGAAAAGTCTCATCCATGTTTTAAATGTTGTTTGGATGTAATTTTATATGTTATTACATATATTATATATGTTAGATGAGATTTGATATACTCTATAAATACATGACAATATAACGATTATATATATATATTCAAGCTAAACCTAAATGGATGGTTGTTTGAATTAAAATCAAGTCTGCCAAAGAGGTGGAATGTCCGCAAGTGGAATTGGGTTCCATCAGTATTAGATACAAATCACTTCTCCCAATCCTACCTCTTGGGGTCGGATACTATGCTAACCCCTAAAGGGGTAGTGATTTTCGACACCCCCTTTATGATTGGCCAATTTTATTTCCAATCATTGACAAGTATTAATTAAACTGCTTTTTTATTTTTTTTAATCTTGTAATTTGGGGTCTCTCACCCACATTGGAAAATGAAAGAATAAGGGGAATCAGAAAAAAGCTCTCCCCCCAAATGTGCAATTAATTGCCTTTTTTTCTTCCTTTCTTCTCCTTCTCTCTCCATTTGGGCCCTCTTTCCATTTTGATTTCATTTTAACCAGAACCCTCCTCTACTCTGAAACGACCAAAACCCTCCAGCGCCTTCCCCCACCACCATCCTCCTATCTCCAGCTGCCGCCATCCTGGGATCGTCTCTGACCTACCAATGGAGTGGTACGTGTACCAGTGGAGTGGTACGTGTACCAGTGGAGTGGTATTTGTATCATTGAAGTGGTACTGCATTGTTGCTCCGTTATTGTTTATCATTGTTATGAAAAATATCATTGCACTGGTATTGTTCTCACTCTAACCTACCTTGTGGATTGCTCGCACCAGTGGAGTGGTACGTGTACCAGTGGAGTGGTACGTGTACCAGTGGAGTGGTACGTGTAATTAATGTACCAGTGAGAGAAATTAATTATGTAATTAATGGGGGTGATTTCGTTTTTCCCCAGATTCTTTCTCTTTTCCAATGTGGTGAGAGACCCCAAATTACAAGATTAAAAAAAATAAAAAACCAGTTTAATTAATACATGTCAATGATTGGAAATAAAATTGGCCAATCATAAAGGGGGTGTCAAAAATCACTACCCCTTTAGGGGTAGTCAGGCTAACCGAACCCCTACCTCTTCTCACAATCGATTCCCACCTTTCCTCGCAAAGGGGCAAACATCAGGAACGATGTCTCGGCGTCTTCTCTGCTGGAACACATCTTTCAATCGACCTTATATCTCTCTATTGCTTCCTCTTCACTGAGAATTTTCGAATCTCTGGAACTTTAGCTTCTCAATCTGGAATTTGTATCGGGGCAGAAGTTTCTGGGCAGGAGGGATTAGGGATTTGCAGGGGAGGAGGGATTAGGGATTTGTAGGGAGAAGGAAGGGCAAGGTGTTCGGCTTCGCTCGGGTATCGATAGGGGTTAGAGATGGAAGATAAATTTTCTGGGTTTTTTGCAGGTGTTCGAGAAGATGGTGGTTGAGCGTTGCTCGCTGCCGCCACCAGGTTTGGAGGAAGGGGACGACTGGTAGGGGGTAGGGGAAAAATAATTTTATTTTTGTTTTTTGTTTTTTTTTTCAAAATTAATTATTTTATAACTCAAAATTAACTGACGTGGCAATGATATGATGATGTGTTACTAATATGTGCGATGATTTGGCATCCTAGTCACTCTAACATTAATCTAATTAATGGAGTCTCTAACACCGTTTAAGTTTGTAACAGAAATGGCTATATTTGTCATGAAACTTTCAAAATTTTGACTATAAGTGATATTTCTCCAAATTTGCTATTATTGGCACAAACGCGAAAGTTTTGACTATATATTTTGCCATTAAAAAATGTGAATTTTGGCGAACGACCAATCTAAATACCAACTCGTATATATACAAACGGGAAAAGTGATTTTGCATTGATACCCCTTTTAGGAAAAGGATGCATTGAAGATAAGTCCTGACATCCATGAAGAGCTCCATGAACTAAAAAAAATGGCAAAATATCGTTGTATATCCACAACTATCAGGTTTGTGACAAATATATCCACAACTATCGAAATATCCATTTCCGTCCACTCCGTTAACTCCGTCAGTTAACTTGATGACTGGACAGACGATGAATGCTTAGTTGGTGTGTTTCTGACCCCACTGAATGACGTGGATTAAAAGAGAATTTTTTTAAAAAAAAACCCCTAAAAACCACAGACGGCGAGACTAAAAATTCAACCTAGAAACACGCCCGATAACCACTGATCCTCCTCCGATCGACGCCTCCACCCCCAAATAAGCCTACCCAACCATTGCCTCCCTTTTACTCCGACGGCTTCCATGCAGCCGGCGCCATGGTGATACCAAGCTTGAATCTCAAACAAAAAAAGTTTGAATCTAACCAAATCGCCAACAGAGAAGACTGCAGCAGCGAGGTCTAACAGATAACGGTGTAAAGTTCGGTTGCTTTTAGGCTTATGTGGCAGGTGAGATGGCATCGATTCAGCATTCCGTTAGTCAATATAACGTCGTCTGACACGTCGTTATAGTTTCAGAAGAAAGTGGATAGATCTGTCACACAACCTTCTGATTTTTGGATATTTCGTGTATTTCGATAGTTGTGGATATATTTGTCACAAACCTGATAGTCGTGGATATACAATTGTATTTTGCCAAAAAAGATTGACAGCAACAGCCTCAAAAACACATCCCCAATTGCTAGTCCAAGAAAAATTTCCACCATAGCCCACAAAAAGGAAACATACACCAAGTAATAATTCAGCCATTGAATACGAAAAAAGCAAGTAACAAAGAAACTGCTCCTCCTCCTTCCTCTCATACTCCCTCAAGCAAATAATGGTCGGAAATTATTCCCATCAAACATCATCCACAAACCTCCCAGAAACAAGGAACAAACGAGAAGAACACAAAAACTAGCGATTAAGCACAGACATACGGAACACTGGGAGAAAGTTGCAGCCTTTCTCTTACCCCTCATACTCTTCGGGCTCCTCCTCGTACTCCCCTTCATCATCTGCGGTAGCATCCTGGTACTGCTGGTACTCGGCAACCAGATCATTCATGTTGCTCTCAGCCTCGGTGAACTCCATCTCGTCCATCCCTTCTCCGGTATACCAATGCAAGAAAGCCTTCCTCCTAAACATAGCAGTGAACTGCTCGCTCACCCTCCTGAACATCTCCTGGATTGAAGTCGAGTTCCCAACAAAAGTTGAAGCCATCTTCAGCCCTCTGGGTGGGATGTCGCACACGGACGACTTCACATTGTTGGGGATCCACTCGACGAAGTAGGACGAGTTCTTGTTCTGGACGTTGATCATCTGCTCGTCGACTTCCTTTGTGCTCATCTTGCCACGGAACATGGCTGAGGCAGTCAGGTACCGGCCGTGGCGGGGGTCGGCAGCGCACATCATGTTCTTGGCATCCCACATTTGCTGAGTCAGCTCAGGGACGGTGAGGGAGATGTACTGCTGCGATCCACGGGAGGTGAGTGGGGCAAATCCGACCATGAAGAAGTGGAGACGAGGGAATGGGATGAGATTCACAGCAAGTTTCCTGAGGTCAGAGTTGAGCTGACCAGGGAAACGGAGACAGCATGTTACTCCGCTCATGGTTGCTGATATCAAGTGGTTCAGATCTCCAACTGCATGTTCAGGAAAGCACACATTAGTTCAGTTTCAGTGGTTATGACATTTGTATATCAATGCACCGTTGAGTGAAGCCATATATGGAATGGGACTTACAACTTGGAGTGCTGAGCTTGAGAGTTCGGAAGCAGATGTCATAGAGTGCTTCATTGTCAAGGACCATGCATTCGTCAGCATTTTCAACCAACTGATGGACAGAGAGAGTGGCGTTGTAGGGCTCCACCACGGTGTCTGAGACCTTGGGCGAAGGGAAGACCGAGAATGTGAGCATCATCCGGTCGGGATACTCCTCTCTGATCTTAGAGATCAAAAGGGTTCCCATGCCAGAACCTGTGCCCCCTCCAAGCGAATGGCATACCTGAAAACCTGGTAATGAAATTAAGTCAGTCTATTTATTACCATAAACAGCATCTAAACCTAAAGTCCACTACTTGAGATTGGACAAGTGAACGGAATGCCAAATCAGCCATTAACAGAGACATAAGCATCAGAATCTTAGATCCAAAGGCAATGGACCAACATGAAAGCTACATACTCAAGTCAAAATCAACAAACCAGGGACAATGACAGGCGTCACTTTACTTCTTCTAAAGCATAATGAGAACCCAGATCTTTCCTGTGATCCATTTCTACTTTTCCCCAGTAACAGTATGCTAAAAAGATGAAAAGGGGTAGTAGATGCGGGTGGGTGGTGTTGTTGGGATTGGGCCATCCCCCCAATCATGCAGCGGTGAAACTTAGACATTATCATTAATTTCATCTCTAGATCTGTTCAAAGTGACTCTAATTATGAAGTTTAGAGAAAGACCACAAAAAAGAATCTCCACGCCAGACAATATCAATGGTGGGGGCCATGATCATACAGCTCACATCTTCAAACGTTTTGGCTAAACAACAAACAAGCACGAAAAGGAATAACATGGAACAGCGCAACCAGCAATGAACATAATCATTCAAAAGGAGCAAAATGACAGATTCACGAGAAAGGGAGAAATGTTAACTGTCATTTACGCTTGCTGCAGCTTCCTTAGTACAAGCTCATGATTAAGAACGTAACCGATTCAACAATGGTGGTGATGTCAATTTTGCTAAACAGTTCAAACGAATAAAAAATGTGTCTAATGAGATCCTATTATAGTAGGGCATTGAGAGATGATCAAGAACTCTGGATGAAATTTGGGTTAATCCATTCATACAAACACAGATGAAATTCGCGTTGATACATTCATACAAACACAATGAACTTCATTCATTCAACACCGCCATAACTTTCGACGAATTCAGATTCAATAACGGTGGCGAATCTACGTTCTGGAGTTGGCAGAGTTCAAACAAATCAATGCAAGTCAAATGAAATTCGCATTGATCAAGAAAAGAAACACAAACACCAAAACAGATCTGAGAAACGAGAGAAACCAGATTGTCATTTCGTCATATACCTTGCAAGCAATCACAGTTCTCGGCCTCCTTGCGAACGACATCGAGGACGGAATCGATGAGCTCGGCTCCCTCCGTGTAATGACCTTTGGCCCAGTTGTTCCCGGCGCCGGACTGCCCGAAGACGAAGTTGTCGGGGCGGAAGATCTGGCCGTAAGGACCAGATCTGATGCTGTCCATGGTGCCAGGCTCCAGATCCATGAGCACGGCGCGGGGGACGTAGCGGCCGCCGGACGCCTCATTGTAGTAGACGTTGATCCTCTCGAGCTGGAGATCGGAGGCCTCGTCGCCGTTGTACCTCCCCGTCGGGTCGACGCCGTGCTCGTCGCAGATGACCTCCCAGAACTTGGAGCCGATTTGGTTGCCGCACTGGCCGCCCTGGATGTGCAGGATTTCTCTCATTGTCGGATCTTAGGGGTGGGAGAGCAGGCCGACGAACGGAAGAATGGCTGGGCCGGAGGATAAGGATTAAGGACGGTTGTGTCTGTATTAAAGAGAGGGAGGGAGCGGGGAGAGAGGAGAAGAGAGTGTGAATATATAGTAAGAAAGCTTTTTTGGGGGGAGACGGATAGTTTTTTTGGAAGGTATGGTGGTCGACAACGAAGCAGACAGAGGGGAGAAGAGTGAAAATAGGAAGGGAAGGGTAAAAACGGTGAAAAGGAGGGGGAACGGGGCAGGATATTTTTGTGACGTTAAGGTAACGGTGGGAGAAGGGAGGGAGCCAGGGAGGAAACGAGGAATAAGTTTTCTGGCAGGCGTTAAGTAAACGGTGTTAGGGGAAAGGAAGTTGAAGGTAGGTGGGTTAATGAACGTGGGCCTCCGATTTGTGCGGGGACTTGTTTGTGGAGTAGTTGGATCTTGGGCTGTTTTGGATCTTGGGCTAAAGGGATTTAAAAATTAAAAGTGGGTGGTGTTGGGATGAAAAAATCGCCCACCGTGGGGCTCGAACCCACGACCACAAGGTTAAGAGCCTTGCGCTCTACCAACTGAGCTAGACGGGCTTGTTGTACATTTTCCTATTAAACTTTTAAACGTCTGTTTATCCGAAAATTTCATGATTGCATGCAAAGTCCAAAGTGTTAAATATGATGATAGACTTTCACGGGGTTGTTTTCCCCCTTTGTTGGTGAGCTAGTAACTTGTCATTTGTCACTTCCACTGTTCAAATTGGTGATGGGTTGGCTGATCAATGATCATCCATATATAGGAGAGGCATTGTACTCGAATTCAAATCAAAAGTTCTTTGTGTTGCGGTCTCGTCATTGGTGGAGTACCAGCGACGAGACTATAGTTTAAATCGATTGTGCTACACTCGTTGTATGGCGAATGATCCTCTTTCCCCTCGCCCTTGTATTCCGAATGGATTCAACCAATTGTTTGACTTCTTACCACTTGTAGCAGAGTTCAGTTTAATTCAACGAGCTCATGGTAGGCTTGACTCTGAATTATGATATTGAGTTCGCACTCTGGAGTTGTAGAAACGTTAAAAGGCCACTAAGGAATTGTGACAGATCATCATTTGATTAAAGACTCCAAAGGACTTCCAAAAGAAGATGATTGGTTCAGTATTTGTGCTAGAATTAAGATTTGATGCAGATTTCAGTCAACTATTTAATATGTTAATTTTTTTTCCTTGTGTTTTGAAAATTCATCAAGTGGTATTTTTACCACTATTTAGATCTTATTTATTAATAAGGTTATTTTAATAAAAGTACTAATCCGGTTAGGGTGTTATACAAAGTCTTTTTGTTGACTCGTCCATGGCAAGCCAATCTATAAAAAAAAAAAAAAACTAAACAAAGAAGCTCGTTTGTTATATAACCATGCATAGTAGTGCATGATCTCTCGTTAAAACATAGCAATTAGCATAGGGCTCATTTGTTATCTTCCAATTGTACATGGGCTTGTATGGCTAGAATCCTTGAAAGAAAACACAAGAAGTCAAGAACCATAAGGGCAAGCACAAAATATCCCATTACTATTATATTATCAATCAATAATAAGTTACATTACCATCATTCATTATTTCCATAATTGATTGATTTATTCACCACCACACAGGACGGTAAATTTTTTTTTCATCACGTTCAAATCAACAATAAGGTAAATAGTATACCCAGCCAGCTGGAGGTACGTAAATCACACAGTAACACTCGAAACGAAGTGCTCGGAAAGGAATTATCTTCCTCTTTTTTTTTCACCGATCGAGCAGGCTTAGTCTCAATCCTCTTTTTTGGTTCAAGAGAGTTGACCACAGTCCGCGATGACAACGGGCTTGGCGGTCCGGCCCGACTGCGACCCGACCCGCTCGATCGCCTTGACCACGTCCATCCCTTCCACGACCCTGCCGAACACCACGTGCTTCCCGTCCAGCCACTCCGTCTTGTCCGTACATATGAAGAACTGCGACCCGTTGGTCCCCGGCCCGGCGTTGGCCATCGACAGGATCCCGGGCCCCGTGTGCTTCTTCACGAAGTTCTCGTCGGCGAACTTCTCCCCGTAGATGGACTCCCCGCCGGTCCCGTTCCCGGCGGTGAAGTCGCCGCCCTGGCACATGAACCCGGGGATGACGCGGTGGAATTTCGAGCCCTTGAAGTGGAGCGGCTTCCTGGACCTGCCCACCCCCTTCTCGCCGGTGCACAGCGCCCGGAAGTTCTCCGCCGTCCTCGGCGTCGTGTCGGCGAACAGCTCCATCACGATCCGGCCCGCCGAGGCGTTGCCCACGGCCATGTCGAAGTAGACTCTGGGGTTGTTCACCATGTTTTTTTTTTTTTTGGTGGTTTTGTTTCTGCTGCTGTTTGGCCGAGTTTCGAATTGATCTTTATAGTAGCGCGGGGAATAATGTTTAGGGCGAGTGATTGGTGGCCGCTGATTGGGTACACGTGTAGGAGTTAGTGGGGAAGGAATTTTGGCGGGAGCTGCGTGCACTTGACGCGAGTATCTATTCCATCATCGGCAGCATGGCGCCATCGGATAAATAATTAACGTGAGAAAAAAAAAAAAAAGATTCGCATACAGAAAAAGAAGTTGAAAAATACTCGATATGATGGGCTATTTAAGATTCACCACTAGTGAATGATGTTTGTTAAATATTTGTAGATAGGGATCGGAATTGGTGATGAAACTTGGCAAGGAGATCTGGTGGTTATATATATATATATATATATATATATATATATATATATATATATATATATATATATATATATATATATTGCGAACAAAGTCATGTACAAGTTTAAGTTGATTACAACGATAATAAACAGAAGGGCTATTACCAATAGGAAACCCGAACTATTAACTTTGTGTCATTTGTGTCCTAAAGTATTCGATATGACATTTATGTCCTAAACTATTTTTCTGTTAGAGTTGACCGGCGTTGACCGTTAGTTTTTAACAGAAAGTATAGTCAGCGCTGATGTGGCATCTGACGTGGAATTTTATTTATTTTTATTTTTCCATAAAAAATGAATAAACTAACCAAAAAAAATTAAAAAAACAAAATTAAAAAGCAAAAGGGGGAAGAAGGGGGAGAATCAAGCAGAGACACAAGCTTCCCTCTCCTCCTCCGCAACCGAGGCCGTCTCTTCAACTCCCCCAGCCGATACCCGATTGTGACCCAGGAAAAATCAAGCCGTCTCTCTCAGGGCGTAGGAGTTCATGAAGAAAAGCTTAACGTCGGCATTTGGGTTGGTGGACCAGGGGTTCTTGTGCATCTCGTGCTCGATGACCAGCTGGCGGGGGAGCGCAAGTAGTCCGTGAGGATCATCCAATCCCTGTAGCTGAGCAGCGATGCAGGGAGAACGACAGAGGCGTACGCCGGGGTCGTGTAGCCTCTCCCCACATGGTTGACCACGATCATGCCCGCGCCGCCGTTGTCCTTCACCTCCCGCGCCAGGTCGCTGAACGACGCGCCTCCGACGCGGCATACCACTATCTTGCCCTTGACATCGATCTGGTTGAGTGTACCGGGAACACAAAATGCTGGCAGCTCATCGTTGCCAACCTGATCCGCAGGATCGACGATTGGGAGTGGGCGCTGCTGATGACGGACTTCAGGCCGGAAGATGGATTGGCCGTGGAGCTCCACGCCGTTCCCTAGCTTCACCGTAGCCCGAATCTCCCTGTCGAGGTGTTCCTGGCGACGGAGTTTGAGCTAGCGCGACCAGCAGCGGAGTTGTGGCCTCACTGGGGGATCTTCGATGTTGATTAATTTGGTTCAGATTGAGGTTTTGAAGAGGGGGAGCGGGGGCAAGCCATCCGTGGAGAGGGGAGCTGGGGTTTCATCGAGGAAGAGATGGTTGCGGCGGTAGGGGGACCAGAGAATTCAGCGGCGGCGAGGATTTATGGGCTACGGCGACGGAGAATTTTTTATTGTTTGATTTTTTTTTTTCAATTTTAGTATTTTTTTTTCAATTTTATATTTTTTCAATTTTAGTATTTATTTAATTTTTAATTAAAAATATGAGGTGTCAATGACATGGCATCTACGTGGCTGCCACGTGTTTGCCACGTCAGCAAAAGTCAACATTAAGTTGACCACCGTCTGGTCAACCGTTATATATAACGGCCAACAAAATTGTCATGACATAAATGACACAAAACTATAATAGGTTGGGACACAAATGTCGTATCGAATACTTTAGGACACAAATGACACAAAGTTAATAGTTCGGGTTTCCCAGTGGTATTAGCCCTAAACAGAATAAGCACTAACTACGTACGTACCAACATCTCAAGCTGCAGATGCATACATATAATTAGGGCTGTTAATCGGTCTCCGGTTTGTCGGTTACCACCGAAACCGAACCGAAACCGTCGGTTTACTTACCAACCGAAAACCGTCGGTTGCTTGCGGTTAGCGGTTGCGGTTGGCTAACATCGGCCGTTGGGCAAATCGAGCGGTTAGCGGTTAAAACCGAAACCGTGCAGAGTAACCGCAATAAACCGACCACACTTACCTCAATACAGCGTCGTTTGATCCTGGCCTCTCCCCAGTCCCCTCCTCCCTGACCTAAATGGCGAAATCGGTGAAGGATTTCGTTCCCCAGTCTCCTCAGTCCTCACCCGCCGCTCGTCCTCCCCATTTCTGACCTAATCACTAATCAGTAATCCCTAGTCCCTACCCTCGCCGCCGCCCCCCAGTCGCGTCGTCCGGTCGTCCCCGTCGAGCTCGTCGGCCGTCGGTCGTCGCAGCGGCAGCGCCGTCCTCACTCCTCCCGCTCCCAACCTTCGCGTCGTCTGCCCTGTTCTCCCGCCGAACAGAAGTCGTCCAACAGAAGTCGTCGTCGCCGAACTCCCTCCCAGAACTCCCTTCCAAAACTCGACTCCTGCCGACGCTGCCGTCTTCTGCCCCGGAATCCCGCCGTCGTCTGCCCTGTTCTCCCCCCGTCTTCTGCCCTGTTCTATCACCGATTCACCATCGCCAATGTAAGTCTCCAACAGAACAAAAACATTAGTAGGGATTTCGGATTTGTGTAGAGAAATGCATCTCCGCCTCTCCAAGCAGCTGGGTGTAATTGATAGGGAAGTTCGCAATGGCGTGCAATTAACTGAGTTTTTGGTTTTCTTTCGTTGATGCTTTGGATGAAGTTTATTTACAAATTGTATGCAATCTCAAAAGTGTCAAGAAGTATTGTGATTAAGTTTGTCTAATGCAACATCTACCTTGAATTTGAAAGTTAGACTCCAACATTCTTCGACCGGATAAAACAGAGGAAGAAAGAGTGGGTTTGAAGCGAAAAAGGGGAGTGATTAGCAATGTTATATAGTAATAGTATTGTGAATTTGTGATTGTCAATGTTATACCACTGTTCCGGTGGAGAAACAGAGACCCCTCACTTCCACGTTTTCCATATCAATTACTTTTCTAATTTGCACTCTACTAATTAATATCATATAACACCATTCAATAATATATTTGCTCAATGAAATTACAATAAAAGATAATTTGGTTGAGACACTATCATACCGCATGATAGTGTATAATATGGTTGAGACAAATAACACAAATTTATAAATGTTACATAATGCTAATTGTTCTATTTACTTGTTTTTATTGATTAAAACAGGGATAGAGGTGGACGTGGTAAGAAACCACGTGGTCGTGGACGTGGAAGAGGAGAACAAGGAGCAAGAGGTGCTCCTCCTCCGGCTTCTCAGCCGCGGGTTCCTTCGCAACCTGCTACTCCTTCTACCGGAGCTACTACAGCCGGAGGAGTTACTCCAAATGTGGCGGTTGCAGCTGAGAATGTAGAAGGTATTGCAGCAGATAATGTAGCAGCGCCGGCTGGAGTCGAGAATGCAAATGTGGAAGCTGGGGGAGATGCAACGGGAAGTGCAAATGATGCAGCATCAAAGAAGAGGAAAGCTGAATGTTGGAATGTCTTCAAAGCGATACTGGTTGATGGCTACCCATTTGGAGAATGTATATTCTGCAAGACGAAGATTGCAGCACATCCGAAGTTTAATGGGACAAGTGCAATGAATACACATAGGAGGGCATGTGCGAGGAAAAGGCTGAAGGAGAGTGGTAGCTCTCAAACTTTGTTGAATCTGCAGTCAACATCTACAGCTACTGGTGGTCAGGTAGGATCTCTTTCGACATGGAAGTTTGATCAGACTAAAACTAGGATTGGTCTAGCTGAGATGATTATATTGGATGAGCTTCCCTTTAGATATGTCGAGCATGAAGGCTTTAGACGATTTATGGCATTGGCGCAGCCCTTGTTTGTGATACCTGGTAGGCTTACTATTAGAGAATACTGTTATCGTATCTTTCTTGAAAGAAAAGATATCCTGAGAGATTTCTTTGTCACAAAATGCAAAGGAAGAATTTCGATAACGACAGATACATGGACTTCTGTTCAGAATGCAAACTATATGTGTGTGACTGCTCATTATGTTGGTAAAGACTGGAAGTTGGTGAAGAAGGTGATTTGCTTTGTTGAGGTGACTAGTCATACTGGAGTTGATATAGCAGAGACATTGTGTACTTGTCTAGATGAGTGGAAGATCAAGAGTTTGTGTTGCATCACAATGGACAACGCTAGTGCGAATGATGTTGTGGCTAGTTACATGATAGAGAAGATGCATGAGTGGGGGACAAATATGTTGGATGGGAGGTACTTGCATTTTCGTTGTGTTGCTCACATCATCAACTTAGTTGTCACTGATGGCTTGAAAGAAGTGGGGATTTCGGTTGAAAGGGTTCGAGATGTTGTGAAGTGGGTCAAGTCATCTCCATCAAGACTTACCAGATTCAAGGCGACTGCTGATTTTCTTAAGATTGAGACCAAGAAACTTGTGTGTTTGGATGTTCCCACAAGGTGGAACTCCACCTACCTCATGCTAGAGTCTGCAGAAAGATTTGAGAAAGTATTTACTTTCTTATATGGACAAGATGAGAGTTTTAAGAAGTATGTGGACACAAAGAGAGGTGTGCCAACACAAGAAGATTGGAGCAGTGTGAGAAGGCTGATGAAGTATTTGAAGTTTTTCTGTGATTTGACTACGCATGTATCTGGTATGACATATTTCTAAATCTTTAAAGGCGGACTATATGTTCTTTTTCTTATTACTTCAATTTATGTTATACTAATATCTACTCTCTTGAACTTTTCTGTGTTTACAGGAACTTCATATGTGACTGTGCATCTATTCTTCAAGTATCTTGCAGATATTTATGAGGTCATATGCACATTGGAGCAAGATGAAGATGCCGAGATACAACGAATGGCAGTGAGAATTAAGGCGAAGGT